GCCTGACTTGTACGTGCGTGGTGGGCCCGACGCGGCCCCAGGGCTGGAGCCGCTGGGGCGCGACCCGCGTGCGTCAGGGTGCCCCCGCACGGGGACAGCTTGCAAGCCAGTGTACACCAGGTCGATGAGTGGTTTCGGGTCCAGCTGGAGTATGTGAGAGAGAGAAAGAGAGAGAGAAAGAGAGATAGAGAGAGAGAGAGAGAAGAGAAGAGAAGAGAAGAGAAGAGAAGAGAAGAGAAGAGAAGAGAAGAGAGAGAGAGAGAGAGCAGAGAGAGAGAGAGAGAGGAGAGAGCAGAGAGAGAATAGAGAGAAGAGAGAGAGGAGAGAGAGAGAGAGAGAGAGAGGCAGAGATAGAGGCAGAGAGAGAGAGGCACAGAGAGAGAGGCAGAGAGAGAGAGAGGCAGAGAGAGAGAGGCAGAGAGAGAGGCAGAGAGAGAGAGAGGCAGGGAAAGAGAGGCAGAGACAGAGAGAGGGCAGAGAGAGAGAGAGAGACAGAGAGAGCAGAGAGAGAGAGAGAGAGGCAGCTCAGTCACACTTAAATCCAGATTCGTCCTCACCGAGTCCCACCACCAAGGGAGCGCCAGCAAGGAGATGCACATATGGGGATCCCCACGCAGTGAATAATTCCAAAAGAACTCCCCCTGGGGCTTCGGCCGGTCCCGCCGGCCACCCGAAAGGATAGCCCAGAGGTGGTTGCCGTGGGTTTTCCTGCCCCAGATGGCTCCAAGACAGCCCAAGATGGCCTCCAAAACGCTCAAGATGGCCTCCAAGACGGCAAAGATGGCCCCAAGATGCTTCGAAGACGGCCCAAGATGCACCCAAGACGGCCTAAGATGGCCTCACGATGGCCCACGACGGCCCAAGAGGCCCCCAAGAGGTCTCCAAGACGGCCCAAGAGGCCTCCGAGAGGTCCTGCAGGAGGGCCCGAAGAGGCCCAAATCATTGATTTTCCTTAGGTGTTTGAATGATTTTTGGTATTTGCTTTTTTTCGGCATTCTGACGGCCCAAGACGGCCCAGGAGGCCCCCAAGATCGCCCCAATATCGCCCACGAGACCTCCAAGATGGCCCCATGACGGCCCAAGAGGCTCCCAAGATGCTCCCAAGAGGGCTCCAAAACCGCCCGAGAGGCCTCCAAGACGCCCAAGATGGCCTCCAAGACGAGATGCCTCCAAGACGTCCCAAGATGCACCCAAGACGGCCTAAGATGGCCTCAAGATGGTCCACGACGGCCCAAGAGGCCCCCAAGAGGCCTCCAAGACGGCCCAAGAGGCCTCCAACAGGTCCTGCAGGAGGGCCCGAAGAGGCCGAAATCAGTGGTTTTCCTCAGGTGTTTGAATGATTTTGGTATTTGCTTCTCTTCGGCATTCCGACGGCCCAAGACGGCCCAAGAGGCCCCCAAGATCGCCCACGAGGCCTCCAAGATGGCCCCATGACGGCCAAAATGGCCTCCAAGACACCTAAGATGGCCCCAAGATGCCTCCCAGACGGCCCAAGATGCACCCAAGACGGCCTAAGAAGATGGCCTCAAGATGGCCCACGACGGCCCAAGAGGCCCCCACGAGGCCTCCAAGACGGCCCAGAAGGCGTCCAGGAGGTCTTCCAGGAGGGCGCCCGAGAGGCCTCCGAGAGGTCCTCCAGGAGGGCCCGAAGAGGCCTAAATCAGTGGTTTTCCTACGGTTTTTGCATGATTTTTGGTATTTGCGCCTTTTCGGCTTTCCGACGGCCCAGGAGGCCCCAAGATCGCCCAAGAGGCTTCGGAGATGGCCCCATGACGGCCAAAAAGGCTCCCAAGACGGCCCCAAGAGAGCACCAACACTGCCCAAGAAGCCTCCAAAACTGTCAAGATGGCCTCTAAGAACCCCTGATATGCCCCAAGAGGGCCCCACGACGACCCAGACAGGCCCCCAAGACGGCTTCCGACGGCGTCAGACAAGCCAGGAACGCCCTAAAACTGCCAACACGGCCCCCAAGAAGTCCCTAAAGGCACCCCAAAACCATCCAAGAGGCCCCCAGGAAGCACCCAGGAGGCCCCAGGAGTGCCCCAAGAGGCGCCCAAGATGCCTCCTCCTCCTCCTCTTTTTTTCCTCATCCCCCCGCTCCTCCTCTTCTTGCTCCCCCTCGCGTTCCCCGAAGATTTTCCAAACCGACTCGGGGAACAACTGGCCCGATAGCTTGGCCAACCTCTGGCCCAGCTGTCGGCCACAGAGGCGCTTCCAAAGGGGCAGGGGGCGGCGGTGATTCGCCGTAGGCGTCTTCGAACCGCCGCCTCCTGTCGATTCATCGCAGGGGTGCCTGGCGTGCTGGGTCTTTTCGGTTTTGGCTTGAACTCCCCCTGGAGCGTCGGCACGTCTCGCCAGGGTGCCCATCTCGTTGGCTTCTTCGCTCAAGATGGCTCAAGATGGCCTTCAAGATGAGCAAGATGGCCTCCAAGACGGCTAAGATGGCCCCCCATATGCTTTCAAGACGGCCCACGATGCACGCAAGACGGCCTAAGATGGCTTCAAGATGGCCCAAGACGGCCCAAGAGGCCCCCAAAAGGCCTTCAAGACGGCCTACGAGGATTCCAAGAGGTCCTCCAGGAGGGCCGAAGAAGCCAACACCATTGATTTGCCGTAGGTGTTTGACGGATTTTGGTATTTGCACCTTTTCGGCTTTCCGACGGCCCAAGACGGCCCAGAAGGCCCCCAAGATCGCCCCAAGATCGCCCACGCGGCCTCCAATATGGCCCCATGACGGCCCAAGAAGCCCCCAAGATGGCCCCAAGAGGGCTCCAAGAAGCTTCCAAGACTGCCCAAATGGCCTCCAAGACGGCTAAGATGGCCCCAGGATGCCTCCAAGACGACCGAAGATGCACCCAAGACTGCCTAAGATGGCCTCAAGATGGCCCACGACTGCCCAAGAGGCCCCTCCAAGACGGCCCAAGATGCCTTCTAGAGGTCCTCCCGGAGAACCCGAAGATGCCAACATTCTTGATTGTCCTTAGGTGTTTGAAGGATTTTGGCATGTGCTTCGTTTCTGCATTCCGACGGCCCAAGACTGCCCAAGAGGACCCCAAGATCGCCCACGAGGCCTCCAATATGGCCCGTATGACTGCCCACGAAGCCCCCATGATGGCCCCAAGAGAGCCCCAAGAAGCCTCCAATACGGTCAAGATGACTTTCAAGACGGCTAAGATGGCCCCAGGATGCCTCCAAGACGGCCGAATATTCACCCAAGACGACCTAAGATGGCCTCGAGATGGACCTCAATCATGGACAATAATCCATAATTATTATCGTCATCATCCTTATGCATGCGCAAGCGCGAGCAATGCTCGCGATGCCACGGCATGATCAAGCGCGATTCCCGAAGCGAGCAATGCTCGCGAGGCATCGTCATGAGTCAGACCTGTCATCTCAGCAATCAAAGCAATGAAACACCAACAAAACCACACAACCACAAAATACACCTTATTGAAAACTGGTTATCGTATGACATATTTTGTGAACACGTCAAAGGACAACAACGTAATTTCCAATTTTCGGCAGAACCTAGTTATATAATAATTTGCAACATGTTGTTACGGAATGGCTGTGATATAGTTTTGGCTTAGTTGAGAAATCTATAGTATGACCTTTCTAAAGCTATTATACAAGTATTGCTAAAGCGTAGCACAACTATCCGATATCTATTTTGAAATAGTTTGGGGTGGGCCTTAAAGTAGGTTTTGCTGCAGGATTTGTGCATGTTCTTCTTATCAGTTCTCCGGCGGCCCAAGGCGGCCCAAGAGGGCCCAAACGCCCAAGAGGCCTCCAAGATGGCCCCATGACAGCCCAAGAGGCCCCCAAAAGGGCCTCAAGAAGAGCCCAAGACGGCCCAAGATGGCCCCGGAGACGCCGAAGATGGCATCCAGGACGGCCAAGATGACCTCGAAAATGCCTCCAAGACGGCCAAGAAGGCCTCCAAAACGGCGAAGATGGCCCCACAATGCACCAAAAACGGCCCCAGACGGCCTCAAGATGGCCTTAGACTGCCCAAAAGGCCAGCAAGAGGCCTCCAAGACGGCCCAAGACCCTTCCAAGACGTCCTCCAAGCAACCCGACAGCCCGGAAACCACCTGGTCCGATAGCTCGCCCGACTCCGTGTTCCCCGAAGGCTTTCGAAACCCACTCGGGGAACGCGTGGCCCGATAGCTTGGCCAAGCTCAAACCCAACTTTCGGCCACGCAGGCGTTTCCAAAAAGGCAGGGGGCGGCGGTGATTCGCCGCATGCGTCTTTAAGACATGAAGACCGGGAGAGAGAGAGAGAGAGAGAAACAAAATATCAGAGAGGGAGAAAGAACGGGAGAGAGGGAGTGAGACACAAGCCATGTATACATGTATGCATGATAGCTTGGCCCATCGTTCTACATGGATACATAGAAATAGTCACGCGTATCTCTCTATACATAGAGATCTGTGTACATGTATTTACTATGTTTGTATACAATTGTATAGATATATGTAGAGAGAGAGAGAGAGCGAGAGAGAGAGAGAGACAGAGAGAGAGAGAGATATGAACTATACTGATACATATATATACATATTTATACACATACATATACATATACATATATATATATATTACATATATATACACGTATATACACACATATATATATACACATACATTTATATACATATATTCAACCCATAGAGGGAAATATTGGCAGAGAAGAGAGAACGATATATATATATAGATATAGAGAGATAACACCATACACATATATATATATATATGTATATACAGATAGATAGATATATATGTAGAGCGAGAGAGAGAGAGAGAGAGAGAGAGCGCGAGAGAGAGAGAGAGCGAGAGACAAAGGAGGAAGAGGATGGGGGGCGACACGTCCAGATTTTTGAAATGTGCATGGAGTGTTCCTGACCTTCCCGCGCGTCGGTAGAGCACACCTGCCTCCTCCAATCGCAGCGGCGGCCGCCCCGATCGGCCAGCAATCACTGCGCACAGCCCTCCCCGCCTTCTTTTTGCAGATAGCCTTGGTCCACTGAAACTCGTTAATCTTGATGTCCCAGTGCATGGCGTCGTAATCACTACCTCCACGGCGCCCTGCTCTGATCTGCCCCTTGCAAGGAGAGCCGCGATGGCGGATGCGTGGGGGCAACCTGCTGCAGACCGCGCCCTCTTCTTCTGCGGGCGCAGCCCGCACGTGGACTTTCGCGAATCGCCCCCTGGGGGCCTGGCCGCGGCGGCACGCTCTCTCACGGGGCCCCTCCGTCTGCGCCTCCCGGAAAACATCCGCCGACCCTGTCGGCGTGTGTGAGGGAGAGAGAGAGAGAGAGAGAGAAAACAAGAGAAAGAGATGTTTTGTCGTTTGAGTCGTTGTCGCCGTCACCGCTTTCCCTTTTTTTTTCCCTGGGCCAGCCTCCTTAAGCGATCCGGCCAGACAGGAGTCAAACAACGTCCGACTTGATTCGAAGGGAGGCCTCTTTCCTTCGATCCCTTCCCTGGCACGGGGGATAACGGGGGGGTGGCCCAGGGGGGAAGGGGGGGTAGCGGGGAGGGTCCCAGGGGCCGTGGCCAAACATGGGAAACATTACAACCAATTTGAGGGAATCCAGCAATTTCGGTTGCAATCCCAAACAAGTGGCACCAATTACAAGCGGTTTCAAGACTTCTACATGTTCTCTAAAAAGGCTTCTTCGAGGCATCCCAGAGGCTCCTTAGAAACTCCCTACAAATTCCTTAGGCCTTCCCGGGAAGCTCTTTAGAGGCTCCTGAGAGGCTCTTTAGGCGCTCCTTCGAAGCTCTCCTTAGAGGCTCCTTCGAAGCTCCCTGGACGCTCTAGAGGCTCCCCAAAAGCTCCTCAACAACTCCTTAGAAGCTCCGTGGAGGCTCCTTAGCAGCTCCTCGGAGGCTCCTGAAGGGGCACCCGAGAGGCCCCTTGGTAGCTCCTGAGAGTCTCCGAAGAAGCTCCTGAATGGGGTTCCTTAGCAGCTCCTTATGCGCTCCTTCGAAGCTCTTTGGGAGCTCCCTGAACGCGCCTCATCAGCTCCCTAAGAACTCACGGGAGGTTCCTTACAAGCTCTTTAACAAGAGGTTCCTTATAAGCTCCACGGGGGCTCTTCACAGACCCCTTAGAAGTTCCTCAACAGCTCCTTACAAGTTCCCTAAAAACTCCTAGGAGGCCCCTTGGCAAATCCTTAGAAGATACTTGGAAGCTCCCGATCAGCTCCTGAAGAACTCACGGGGAACTCCTTAAACGCTCCTCCGAAGCTCCTTCAAGTTCCCTACACGCTCCTCAGGGGTCCTCTGAAGCTTCTCAACTCCTTAGAGGCCCCTCGGCTCCTTAGAAGCTCCTTAGGGGCTCCTTAGACCATAGAAGTTCATCAGCGGCTCCTTAGAAACTTCCGAGGCGCTCCTTGGTAGCTCCTTAGAGGCTCCTTGGGAGCTCCGTAGAGGGTCCTCATAAGCTCCTAGAAGCTCGTTAGAAGCTCCTCAGAAGCTCGTCTGACGCTCCTTAGAGGTTCCTTCGAAGCTCCCCAGAAGCTCCTTCGAACTCCCTACACGCTCCTCCGGTGTTGCTTAACAACTCCTTAAATCCTTAGAGGCTCCTCGGAAGCTCCTTAGAAGCTCCTTGGTAGCTCCTTAGAAGCTCCTCAGGGGCTCCTTGGAAACTCCCGAGAGGCTCCTTGGTAGCTCCTTAGAGGCTCCTCATAAGGTCCTTAGAAGCTCCTATACGCTCCCTATACGCTCCTCGGGGGCGCCTTACAAATTCTTTACATCGAGGCTCCTTAGAGACAGAGGCCCCTCGTAAACTCCTCAGAGGCTCCGTAGAAACTCCTGAATGGGGCTCCTTGGGAGCTCCACAGAGGCTCCGTAGAAGCTCCTGAGCGGCTCCTCAGAAGCTCTTTTTTAAAAAGGCTCCAAACAAACTCCTTCGAGGCTCCTTAGGAGCGCCCTAGAGGCTCGCTCGCGTTCCTTAGAGCCTCTGTAGAAGCACAGGCTCCTTAGCAGCTCCTTGGAGGCTCCTTAGAGGCTCCTTGGCAGCTCCTTAGAAGCTCCGTAGAGGCTCCTCAGGGGGGTCCTTAAGAGGAGCTTCGAGGATTTCTGGGGGATGTCTGGAGGAGTGCTGAAGGACGTCGCCAGGACGTATGGAGGATTGCTGGTGGACGGAGGATTTCTGGGAAATCCCGGTGACTCCTGGAGAAGGAGGAGGAAGAGGAGGAGGGGGAGGAGGAGGAGGAAGAGGATTTGAAGTGATATGTCTTAAGGGGCGCCGTAATCCCATGTGATATGGCCTGCGGCCATCGCCACCCGAGGGTTGACATGGGGACCTGCGCCACAGCAGGCCACACTAGGGGTGACAGGAAGAATTGGACCTCCCCAGAGCCCAACAACTTCTCGTTGGATCGAAGGAAGACGCGTGCCAGACCTAAGTGTCCAATGTAATTTGCTGTGTTGCATCGCACGGCACGCGCACTCCGTGCGCGCGATCCCTTCAGCCAGTACTGCTTTAACAGTTGTAACGCTGGTTTTGGCGCAAACTGCTTTACCAGTTTTTACGCCTGCTGCGCCGCACCGCCTACGCGACATTTGCAGCGCCTTGCGTGGCGTGGGGGGATAGCGGATGGAGCAGTACGCCTAACATCTGGGTAGTTGCAAGTTCCCGTGCTGACGATTTATGGTCGTTTGAGTGAGCAAAAGGTGCATCTCTACTCAGGGACGCGGTGGGGCATGGATTCGCGGATACGCGGGCACGCCCAGAAGTGAGTCCGAAGTGGCCGCAACAGAGTGTGGCTCTTTCCTGCGCTGGTTTGGCCGATAAGGAGAGTCAGGGTGCAGCGCCTTACCCTGAGCGCGCCCGAACGTGAAGCAGAATCGTGAGACTGTCCCGGCTGCGTGGCCGATAACTTGGGGGCGAGGTGTCGATGCTATCCCTCCCGACCTCGCAACGACATGTGGGGCCCCGCGAAGTGGAGCCCGGATGTGTGCTTGGTCCACCCCGGGGGGACGCGACAAAGAGGAACCAAAGCGCGCGTGCCTTGCCGGAGGGGGGGGTAGGAATTGTCCGCCACTGGGCGGCGGTTCAAGCTAGAAACCAAACGTGCGTGGTTCTGATATGTCTTGGTCTGTCTCGGCTGCGTGGCCGATAAGTTGAAGGTGAGGTGTCGAGGCTATCCCTCCCGACCTCACGACGACATGTTGGGCCCCGCGAAGTGGGGCCGGGATGTGTCCTTGGTCCACCCCCGGGGGGGGCGCAACAAGTTAGAACCAAAGCGCGCGCGCCTTGCCAGGGGGGCAGGATTTATCCGCCCCGCCTGGGCGGCGGTTCAAGCTAGAATCCAAGCGTGCGCGGTTCCGATATGTGGTGTTGCCTCTGTCCCGGCTGCGTGGTCGATAACTTGGGGGTAAGGTGTCGAAAGCTAGAAGCCAAGCGCGCGGTTCTAATATGTGGTGTTGCGTCTGTCCTGGCTGCGTGGCCGATAGATTGGGGGTGAAGTGTTGATGCTATCCCCTGACCTCACAACGACGTGGTGGGCCCCGCGACGTGGGGCCCGGATGTGTGCTTGGTCCACCCCCGGGGGTGCGCAACAAGACAGAACCAAAGCGAGCGCGCCTTGCCGGGGGGGCAAGATTTGTCCGCCCCTGGGCGGCGGTGCAAGCTAGAATCCAAGCGTGATATGTGGTGGTGCGTCCTGATTGCTTGCACCATCTTTTGAGCCCTAGCTTGAAGCAGGCCCGTGAAACACGACAGCTTGCACCACGTCTTGCGCCCGAGCGTGAAGCAGGACCATGAGACGCGATACCTTGCAACACGTATGGTGCTTTCGATGTAGGCCTTGAGTTTGCCCTGGAGTTCACCGGGACCTACGGACTGGGTCAAGTAATGAAATGTGTCTTGCACGTGGTGACAGCGATGGGTGCTGAGGGAAAATCCCTCTGGGATCCCTATGGGGCCCCAGGCGATCGCAAAATGACCCTCAAGGAAGATCTACCGCTTAGATCTCGATCATGAGACCTGCCAGGGTCGCAGGACGGACCCAGGAGGGTCCCTGGAGGGCTCTTATCCTGCCGCAGGATTTACTCAGGGACGAACTACGGCGCAAATCTCGGAACCCGCCAGGGCCGCAGGGAAAAGAACAATGTCCAAGACGGGCCTCCGGGGGCCCGCCAGACGGGCTCAAGGTTAACCCCAATGAAGACCAACAATGTAGAAATATCCTGTGCTGATGACCTAAAACGTATATCGTTGTCTGATACCTGGCAGCGCCGTAAGAAAGTCTCCAGGACTCGAACGGGGCCCACAGGGTGCCCCCAGGTCACAAGATGGCCCCTATGAAGATCTACGGCGTAGACCTGATCTTCGGTCGCCCCTCGACTGCAAAATCACGTATACCGTGGCATCTATAGCACAGGTAGCGTTCATTCAATGTTTCCCCTGGGCATTGTATGATGTCAAGTGGGCTGCGACTAACTGTGTCCCAGAGGGTAACACCCGACGTGTCGAAAGTAGACAAGAGCCGTTGGCATTGCCGCCTGGCTATGTCTATGTGGCGCATGCCTTGTGGGTGGGGTAGTTGTGCAAGACCGCGGGCTGTGTCCCGGAGAACTGAAACTTCGACGTGTCGAAAGTAAACGAGAGTTACTGGAATTGCCGCCAGTCTGTGTCCAGGAGGCGCTTGCCTCGTAGATGGATGGGGAAGTGCGCAGGGTCGCCGTCATTGACGCCAGACTGTGACTAGGAGGGCTGAAACTCCGACGTGTCCAAAGTAAACAAGAGCCGCTGGCATTGCCGCCAGGCTGTGTCTAGGAGGCGCATGCCTCTTGGGTGGGATGGTTGTGCAGGGCCGCGGTGTCCGCGAGGCTTGAACCTCCGACGAGTCGAAGTTAAACCAGAGCCGCTGGCATTGCCGCCAGACTGTGTCCAGGAGGAGCTTGCGTCATGGGTGGGTTGGTTGCGCAGGACCGCCAGCATTGCCGCGGGCCTGTCCTGGAGGCCAGAACCTCCGACGTGTCGAAAGTAAACAAGAGCTGCTGGCATTGCCACCAGACTGTCTAGGAAGCGCTTGCCTCGAGGGTGGGTAATTTGTGCAGGACCGCCGGCATGGCCGCCGGGCTATGTCCTGGAGGCCAGAACCTCCGACGTGTCGAGAGAAAACAAAGCCGCTGGCATTGCCGCCAGACTGTGTCTATAAGGTCCTTGTCTCGTCGTTAGGGAAATTGTGCGGGACCACCGGCATTGCTGCCGGGCTGGGTCCCGGAGGGCGGAACCTCCGACGTGTCGAAAATAAAAAAGCGCAGCTGTCCTTTCGCCAGATTCTGTCAATAACTCCCTGGGGAGGCCGTGCTTGGCATCAAAGTGAGGCCACCAACCTTTCACTGGGAACGGGGCTACTCAGGGGTGCTCTTCGAGTTCATGGAACTCTTAGTGGCGCCCCGCGCGTCCCCTGAGCTTTTCCCCTTACCCAGTATCGAAAGGCGTTGGCACGGGGAGGAGGAGGAGGAGGAGGAGGAGGAGGAGGAGGAGGAGGAGGAGGAGGAGGAGGAGGAGGAGCAAGAAGAAGAGGAAGAGGGAAGAGGCAGGAAAGGAGGAAGGAAGGAACGGCTGAGGACAACAGGGGTGATACATCGGGCTTTCGTTCTGTGTTGTTGTGAAAGGTGTGTACCTAGGTATGTGTTGTTAATGTTGTTGTGTTAGGTATGTGTAACTGCTTTGAGGTTATATGTGTTGTTGCGAATTGCTGCTGCAGAACAACGCGGCTCCTAGATCCCAGAAAATAAACTGATACCATTTCCAACCGGGGCACTCATGTTGTCTCCCAGAATAAACGTGCACCCTGAAAACGTTCATTTGATGTCTGGATCTTCTTGAAACGCTTTACACAAGAAATCCTATTGCAGGCCCAAGATGGCTGGTTGGAATTGGTACCAATTGGTACTGGTTGCATTTTTTTCTGGCTGAGATATGGCCAGGTCGGTTGAAATCCGCCGGCCCCCTTGTGGGGCCACCAGGCTGTAGGACGGAGATTTGCTGTTCCCTGCGCCAGTTCCAGTTTCCAGTTTCCACTGTTACAATTCTGCTTCTTGCTGCTTACTGTTCCTTGTTAATGGACCGCGCGAGGGGGGGGAGGAGCCGAGAAGGAAAGCAGTTGCAACGCCCAAATCGCGTTGCCTGAATTCCTGGGGGGGGCGTGGGACAGGTAAAACTACTTGAAATTCGCGCCCCGAGGCCATAAACTCTAGTAAATTGAAACATGTTCGCGTCCACGAGGCCATAGACTCTCGTGAATTACGCAATATTGGCGTCCCCGAAAACAGAATCCCTCGCAAAATACGCCATATTCGTGTCCCGACGCTGCTTCACGGCGGCGCCAGGGCCTCATGACTTTGCTCTTGCATTGCCCATTATCCGAGAGAGGGGGCTGGCGACAGGGGGCGAAGCCCTTTAGGATTAGTGCAAGTCGGTTGGGATTCATCCGACATGCGGTCGTGACCTCCCCTCGGGGGGTCCACCCTGTGGATACTTGGGACAGGGGGTGGTCCCGTTGTGGACGGGGGAACTCGAGACCCCTTTCCCCCCCATCCCCCTGTTCACAAGGGGACCACCGTCTTCCCTCCTCCCAGACCCCCCCACCCCTGGGAGGCACCCTCCTCACTCGTATCTGCCGTTGCGGGGGGCTGCGTGTTTTCCGACATGCCTCCAAGAAACCTCACATTTGCCCCGAGGCGGCGCCAATTGGCCACGGACCTGCCCAAGAAGTCCCCCGAGAGGCCCCCCAACAAAACCCAATAGGCTCCCCAGAGAGCCCCAAGAAGGGCTCCGGAGCATCAGCGTCGTCGTCGCCGCCGCCGTCGTCGTCGTCGTCCCCCTCGAGGGTCGGCCGCAACGGTCGTAATGCCTTCCAAATCAATCAGAATTGCCATCGACCCCAGATGATCAAGGGCCCAGACTTCCAGCGTCGTGGAAAAATGAGGACGGAACTTTTTGACAATTTTCGGCCTCCTTGGGCCGCCTCCTGGCTCTGGAACCATCAACAAAACTGCCCTGGATGAGAAACGTGATGCCCAAAAAGGGGTCGAGAGGTCCAGGGACCAGTCATTAAACAAGTCACGACGCCAGATGCTTGGGGAGGGAGATTTCTGGACGTTTTCGGGGCGTCGTTGGACGCTTGTCGACCCTTGCGGGCCTGCAGGGGCCTCCCGGGGCCTCTGGCAGCACCCAACGTTATACGACCCGAAGCACCACCTGATCCTGATCCTCCGCCTGCTGCTCCAGAGCCTCCTCCTCATTCCCCCGTAATCCTGCTCATGATCCTGCTCATGACACAATCCTCATCATCCTTATCATCCTCGTCACCATAATCATAATCATCATCAGCATCATCACCATCATCAACATCATCATCAGCATCAGCAGCATCATCATCATCATCATCATCATCATCATCATCATCATCATCACTAGCATCATCATCACCACCACCATCATCATCACCATTACCATCACCATCAGCATCACCACCATCATCATCATCATCATCATCATCATCATCATCACCATCATCGGCAACATCATCATCATCATCATTATCATCATCGTCATCATGATCGTCATCATCGTCGCCACCACCATCATCACCATCATCGTCATCATCAGCATCACCATCATTAGTATGACTATCGTCATTGTCATCATCATGTTCATCTTCATCTTCATCTTCATCTTCATCTTCATCATCATCATCATCATCATCATCATCATCATCATCATCATCATCATCATCATCATCATCATCATCATCATCATCATCTTCATTGGCATCATCTTCATTCTCTCCATCCTTCTCGATGACCACCTTCACACTCCTCAAAGTGCTCCTGTTCCTTCTCCTTCCCCCTCATTATGTTACTCTGCCTCACCCGCCTCTTCCTCCTCCTCCCCCGCCGCCTCCTTCGCCTCCTTTGCCTCCTCATTATCCTTTTAATCATCGTTATCTCACTCCTCTCCTGTCCATCCTCACTGTCGTCGTCCGTCGTCGTCCTCTTCCGCATCCTCATGCTCCTGCTCTAGTTTCAACTTCTCCTTCTACTCCTTCCAATTTTCCCCTTTGTTCCTCATCTGGCTCCTCCTCCCCCTCTCCCTCGTGATCATGATCATTCCCGCTCCTCCTATTCCGCCTGCCCCTCCTCCTGAAACTCCCGCTCCTCCTCCTCCTCCTTCTCCTCCTCCTCCGCCTATCCTCAACATCCTCGCTATCCTCCATCCGCGTCAATGTCGTCCTCGTCCTCGTCGTCATCGTAGTCTCGCCGTCCTCGTCGTCCTCGCAGCCGTCGTCGGCTTCGCCCACCCCCCCATTCTAGGAGAGATTCGTATTGCACATGCACCGACCCTGGCCAGGCTCATCCTGGGCCCAAGATGTGTGCACACGCTTTCCTGGCTGGGCCAGGGAAGCATATGCACCGCCCGTGGGCACAGGACGGGCCCGGTCAAAATCGGTGCATGTGCACACTCCTCTTGGCCCCCCCGTGGGGCCCCCCGCCGTGCTTTTTGAACAACCTCGCGCAGATCGGCGCCTCCTCCTCGTTCACCTTCTCGCGCCCAGGGGCGGCCCGCCGGGGGGAGCGGAGGAAGAAAATGACGAGGACGAGGAGGAGGAGGAGGAGGAAAAGGGGGATGATGATGATGCTGATGATGACGATGAGGAGGAGGAAGAGGAGGACGAGGAGGAGGAGGAGGATAACGGATGAGGAGGAGGAGGAGGAGGAGGAGCATAGCCCCCCCGTCCAGTCATCTTTTCTGATGGCGCCAGAGAGCGCCAGCAAGTTAGGGAAAGAAGTAGCGCAGGCCAACGAACGTCCCTCGTCCGATGGACTCCGAACGGGGCGTGAAAAGGCTTGCGACCTGGAGATCTCCCCCCCCCCGCAGGGCACTAGAAAAAAGAGGCGAGGCAGGTCGTGGATAGACGGCGCAACAAACATACCTGAAGAGAAAAACGGCCGCGGGGTTGTCATCTCAATGCTGTGCCCAGCGCGCTCTCATCAGCATTGCCCCCCCTGACAAGTCAACTTTTCTGATGGCGCAAGCGCGCGCCAACAAATTAAGGAAAGAAGCGGGGCAGGCCAACGAACGTCCCTCGTCCGAGGGACTCCGAGCGGGGCGTGAGGCTTGTGACCTGGAGGTCTCCCTTATCCACTCCGTGGGCTGCTATTTTCCACGTGTGCAACAGAATTTGCAAGCTCATCGCACAATTTCTGAAGGCAGGGCTGAGCAAAGAGAGTCAACCACCGACCCGACTTATCCTCCCCTTCGAGGCCGGAATGGTGGCAGCCAGTTCGAGAACACAAACCAGCCATCATCTTGCAAGTGTGCCCGACCTTGTCTAAACTGATGCCCTGGACCAAAAAGACGTGCCCTTTGTCTACGTTTCACCACACTGGCAGAAATCGAAGTGCACGAACCCAATGGTCTTCATTTCTGCGGTAAAAAGCTCATCCTCATCAGCCTTCTCGTGGTCGGTGCTTTCCAAACACGACTGCTCCGAGGATTCTCAATTGCCCAAGGTATTCCAAGCTTAGCGGCGGCACGGGACAAACGTGCAACGCAGAACAGAAGCTGGTTATATACCAGTTCGGACCTTTTCGGCTTCCTCTTCGCTGAGGCTCGGCAAACCCACGATGGAAACATCTTCCCCGCGAAGCGGCCCTGGACAGGGACCTTTTCCACAACTAGCCCGAATCCTTGAACTGCACAGCAGCCCAAACCAAAGAAAACTGACTCTCTTGCTACGAATCAAAGCCAGCAGCCGATGCCCAACTGACTTCTTCAAGACATCAACTCCCGTCTCGATGTCCAGAACATCAGTTTTCACTCCTTCCCGGCGCAGGGCCTGGCTGAGACGCCCAGTTCCCGAGAAAACCTGGATCGCCCCGCGGCGGCCCACTCTGCCCCGCGCTGGAGACCCCACCCTCGCGGAGGCACGAGCGGCGACTTCTCCCCCGCCAGCGCGCCGTCGAGGTGGACAGCGACTTTCCGCAAAACTCTAGCACCCGCGGGGGGAGGTCGGCGAGCGGGCTCTGCAACCCTCCCTATCTTGGTGCATCGGCGCACTGACGACTCCGTCTGCCGCCGCCCTCATGCCATCGCGGTTGCCCTGTCGCGCTGCTTCCCGACAAGGTCGTGGGCGGCCCCTCCGTGGCGGCACTGGTGGAGCCGCGGTCTCACCTTGGTGCCGAGCTGCCGGCTGATCGCGTTGACCTCCTCCAACGCGTCCTTCAACTGGAAGTCGAACAGCAGTGCGGTCCGCTCTCGACCGTGGGCCCGACGATAAAGCGCCGCCCCGAGGTTCCCGAGGTAGCTCTGGTAGAACAGGGGGCTGTCGTTGAACGCTCCGGCATTGTCTGGCACCTTCTCGCTCGGGCCCCTGATGATCGCGGTGTAGTGCTTGTAACCGCGACTTGCCCCCGCAACCAGAGGAACCGCGTCCTTCGCGCGAATGCTGAGCCCCGTCGACGGCCCCAGGTAGCACGCGAACAGCGCCGACAGGAAACCTGCCTCGGAATGCCGCGCAGTTGGCGATCGCCGCCGCGATGGCCCGCGGCAGCGGCAGGAGGCTTGTCGGCGGCGCCTCCTTCCCCCATGCCTTCAGCGCTCTCTGGGCGCGGACCAACAGCCAAATCTGCCCGTTCTTGGTCCTCGCCCCCTCGAGTTGAACAGCGGCCGTCGTCTTCTCACCCAGCGACGGCCTGTGGCCGTCCAGGAACTTGGCGTCGAAGTAGTCGACCGGCGCGAGGTCCATCGCAGCGCCGACCCCCGACGGCAGCCCGTTCTCCGCTCAGGAATCCTGGAAGGCCTTCAAGTAGAACTCGTGGTCGCCTGTCGCCCGTGCCGAGATGCCCCGCTCTTCTAGCCTGGGCCCCTTGCCCCGCCGCGCTGGCGGCATTCCCCATCGGGGGCTCGGCCTCTGCAGCCGGCCGCTCGCGAGCGTCCGTGGCCGGGGCCTCGGGGCTGCCCGGCGCGGCGGGCGCCAGCTCCGTCGCCGCTGGCCTCGCCGCGTGGGCCAGGCACGTCAGCTCGCGCGATCTCCGCGCCGCGGTCGCCGTCGCCCCGCCGCCCCTCGAGCCCGGCAGGCTCCTCGAAGACGTCGGCGCCGAGAGCGAAAATCCGAGAGGCCCGCGAGCTCCGCTCTGCCGCGCAGTCAGCTGGCGGACTTCCGAAGCGGCCCGCGGCGGCAGCGGCGACGCGCCGACAGTCCTGCCCTCCGAGCTCGCGAGAAGGCTCGTCCGCGGCATTGCGCTCGCTGGGGGCCCGTCCGGGACGGAGGCGACTGTTGGTTGTTTAAGCGCCCCCACCTGCTGACAGACCTTGCGCGAATCATGCGAACAAGCACGCCCTTTGGATAACACGAAACACACCCCGAGATTGTCCGCCAGGAGAACGCGAGGCTTCCCAAAATTGCGGCGAGCCCATGAGAGCCTCCCAAGCGCCGCGACAACCGCCCCCACCCCCCCATCCTCCTTCAGCGTGGTATACTCCTCCAAGAACTGCCAGGCCCTAAACGACGCCATCTTCAAGTCTGGGGCCTCCAGAAGATCCGCCGGCACCTCGGGGGGATCGGGGTCCTCGTTGTATCGATGAGAATATGAGCCGCCAGCTTCGCCCCATAGGCCTTCGCGAACGACTCCAGGGGCCCCGAGATGACCGGCACTGGCGATGTCCTCCGGGGGGCCCAGCCCGAGAGTCCTCGGGCGCGGCGCCCAATGGTCAGGAACGAGTCTCTTGAACCTCTATCTCTCGTTCCATTTTCCCAGATCATGCGCGGCATGGGCGTCGAGATCGCGCTCGCAAGTGCCGCGGCCCGGGGGGGGGGGGGTCCGCGCGCGTGAACGCCCCGTTCCAACTCTGACGAAGGTCGGCCACGCGCAGCGGGGGGGGACCGACGATGACGCGACGTTTTTTGCCGCAGCTCGGCCAGAGTCGTTCTGGCTGCCCCATCTGCGCAGCGAAGTCATGCAGGTGACGGGGCGCGGGCAAGGCACTTCGGTTCAGCATTGCGACGTCTGCGTAATGCCCAATCAGCCTCTCCGCCCCCTGACTCATCCAAACGAAAACCGCGATCAGCTTCCAGGGCGTCTCGGGGAAGGGCCGCGGCGCGCCAGGGCCGTCATCGGGGGCGGAACCCAGTGCGCGGGCGACGAGGCCAGGTCCCAGGACATCGTCATTCGAAAAACCGTCATCCCCCATCTTCCTCTGGACCCTGTCGCGAAGCTGACCAGCATCTTCATTAGCTAACGCCCCTGCGTTTAGGTTGTCTCAATGGCCCGTGGACGCCGTCCCAACTTCAATCCGTCAAGGGACCGGGTGCCCGTCGAGGAGGACTCTCCCACAACTTGGGCGCGGTGGCGGTGCTCCTGCGCCGTCCAAAACAACCGCGCGATGCCCATCGGTGGCGCCCGAAGACGCATCGACGCGCGCTGTCGTCGTAACCTCCCAAGGCCCCCTGGCTGACGCCCATCGACTTCAACTGGTGAACGTGCAGGTCCGTCTCGAGCGCAAAGAAGTCAGACAACCCCTCGGGAATTCCGCATCATGAAAACAATCCGTGATGTCCGCTTCGGTCCGACAGCTCTCGTTTCCAACGGGGGGCTCCAGATCGCTCAAAGAACTCGAGCCCCCCGCCCCAGCTCGGTGTGTGGCGGTGGCGCGAAGCGCAAATTGCACTGCCTGCAATCTAGTGCTATCCTCTGCTTCCCAGGCTCTTTCGAAACGCCGAAAGCCCCGGCGCGGGCCGCGGGGCGGCGCAAAAACCTCGCGAGACCCCTGGGCGCCAAGCTGGCGGCAAAACAGCCGATGCCGCCTGGCCTCGACAAAGCGGGATCCGCGCCGGGAGGGGCGCTGGCCGCCTGCTCGGCGAGCATGCTCTAGGCAGCTGCACTGACCAGCATTCGCTCCTCGAAATCACGAAGGCACTCGAGAGTCGCGCCAACCGAGACCCAGACCATATCTACAAACTCAAGGTCAACTTCGGGAAGAGACGAACTCTGCGAAACCATGTGGGCCCGGGCCCCTTCGAGGCCCCTGGGCTGGTGAGACCCGCGGGCCAAGGGCCAGCTCGCGAACGCGACCCAAGATGCCCAGGAAGAGCGCGCTGGCACTGCGGCGGGCTCGCTAAGTCACTGGCATCCGGAGAGGCAGGCCGATCGGGGCGGGGCCCGAAGTACATGAATTGAATGAGTCGATGCACGCTCTGACCTATGCAGCGATGGCCCATCGGCGCAGCAACCGCCTCTCCGTCGCTCCGTCGCCCTGCGCAGGCGATGCCCTCGATCGAGCTCCAGAACAACGAGCCGCGGTAGCGGGGAGACGCCCCGCGATCGGCTGGGCGTCGCCCCCATCCCTGGAGACGCGCAAGAAAAACGCGAAGGCGAACGCCCTCGGCGCGCGCGACGCGGACTGAGCAGGGCAGGGTTGCGCCTTTTCAGCCCGGCCGCTGCCCCGCGGGCGGCCCCTTCATCGCCGGGGGCGCGGCGAGCCAGTCACCGCGAGCTCCCGCGCCAACGCGAGCTTGACATCCTCGTGGATCGACCTGTCT